CTCTCAAAAAAGAAAGTCATATTGCAATTCTTGCTATATGACTACCAGACTTATATAAAGCAAAGAGTGCACAAATGGACTAAAAGGACTGCTATTCTAAGGGGGGGGGGTATTTCAGTGTTATTTTTGATGGTGTTAAGGATGTTACAATAAATCATGGGCAACATAGCAATATAGGTTAGATCCACCCCTGATCGCAAAATGCAGAACTAGTAGCTATCAAGTGAAGGGCTGAAGAAACTTCAGAAAGAGAGCCTCACAGGAGTGACAGAAATAGAAGACATGCAGTTGAGAATTTTATTTTATTTTTTAAAACAATTATGCTGCCCATTTCCCTTTTAAGGTAAATAGAAAGCTGATGTTTGGATGACACACACGCTTCGAAGTAATCACGAATAAATTTTATGTATCCTGCAGTCTCTAGAAATACAGTAAAACCCACTACCATCTCTGCAAATCTAGAGCCAGCCTTTTTTGAGTGCTCAGTCTGTCACAAATAAACACGCACGAGGTGGGGTGGGAGTAGACTTGCCTGAAATGTATATACAAGCAAAGGCTGAAGGAAGTAGCAAGTTGCCTCAGACCATTGTTCCCAAGAATGCTTTCAACTTAGAAAATGGGTCCATTTAAAGGGCTCCAGAATGTATAATTGTTTCTTTTTTTTCCTGGCAATTCCATGCATTATTTCCCTCTTCCAATAGCCCAATAAAGTAAAATGCAGCAACGTCAAAGAAAACAAAATCCACTTATATCCAGACAAGACTTTAATGTCCAGGAGTATTACTAACATTCATGATGATGTTCAAGGGTTTTGTTTGCATATACTTAGTAGAATAAATTGATTTGTTTGGAGAGCTGGCGCCCTTTAGAAAAAAAGAAGAAGAAACTACTTGCAAGGCTGTTTTTCTGTCACGTTGTCCAAATAAAAGCTTCTCCTCCTCCCGCACAGCACAGTCAGCGAACACTGAGGTGTTATTGACAGCCTCAAAGCAGCAACGTTTCAATGTGACCCACTAAGCCTATCAAAGAAGTACAGCAGAAAATCTGTAGATCTAGCCGGTGATAAAGATTTCTCTCATTTCATTGAATTTGTCATTTTTACATCATGCTGGTTTAGGGAAAAAAAAATAGAAGAGTCAAAGGTTTTGGTCAGGTCTTCTCTGCATGAACAAAAGGCTGAAGGGAAAGCATTTTTCTCCATTTCTATTTGCAATTCAGCTAAGGGTTTGATGGATGCCTTAAGGGAATCTTTACCCCTTAGGCTAATATATCTTCCAGCAGATCTTGAGAAGGCTAGGGCACGCTATCAAAGAATTCCTCCCACAGAGAATCCGTTCTCCTGATCATTTTTCACCAATGTTTGATAGGGTGGTTGATCCTATCCTCCCAACCTAGATGGAAAACTATTTTTTTTTTTTTTGTTCTGGGTTGTTTTGTTGGGAAAATAGTGGACTGTATCTCAATGGGAGCATGCCTGTTTTACATGACAAGGCTCTTAATTCAATGACTGGCATCTCTTGATTAAACACAGATCAAATAGCAGTTGATGGGAAACATTATTCTCTGCCCTTGGCCATTCTGGGCTTCATAGTCTTTTCAGGTAATCCTGTTGTATTTGAGAGCCTTCACTCTGCTAAGGTGCCCCTGAATGCTGCCCAAATATTGCCATAATGCACCACTATCGTTGGCCAAACCCAAGGGTATCAATAGGACAATGGTGCATTGTATCAATAATTTGATTTACAAAGTGAGTGCCAAGCTACAGTTTCTGCAGGTAATATACCAACATGTATCTATGACAACATCCAAGACAGATCATTTTAAGGCTCTCTGGTGCCTTTATTAATGTGCTTGTGTTTCAAGATGTTAAAGACAGCCTTTGTTGGCCTACCTGCTTTCAAGTTCAGTTAGACTGGCAGACAAAGGGGAAATGGAAAACAGCTTTTAGGCAGAAGAATTTAACTCCTCGAGAATGAAAGGCTATTTACCTTGCTCAGCTGCCATATTTCAAAGGCCTCTGAGAATTTTGCAATGGCTTTAACTGAGGTGTCAGATTTATTTGCCACAATATTTCTGTATTGCCCAAACATTTTGCCACACGGGTTTAAAAAAAGGGAGCATAAGTGCAAATAAAAATGGAGCCCAAGTCCAAAGATTCAGGCCAAAAACCTGATGGTAAAGGTTGGTTTCCATAGCTTTGTAAACACAAGTAAAATGAGGGCTCCCCTCCCCCCACCTCAGAGCCCCAAGTGTTCCATAATGAAGATGCTGTTTGCAAGGAAGAGCATCTCTGAGTGCCCAGCCCCTTAAACTCAAGTAGGGAGATTGATTCTGCAACTCCACAGTTAGTTAAGTCATGTATGCTTTACACAGGTTAAAAGAGCACTGGGTATTTTCTGTCTTAGGTACCAGAAACCGACTATTTAAGACACATAAATGCTGCTTTAAATATATGCAATTCCTAAATCAGTGCACTTCTCTCCATAAGCCGATTATCACGCATGGGTAATACTGTTTTGCATGGCTCTGAAAGCCTGTGTTAAAATGAAATAACGATTGCCACTGATTTGATTCTGTGGCTGAGTTCACACATCACAGGAAGCTATATTATGGCTCTGCTGGTTTTGGGGGCGGCGGTGGTGGTTTATATAGTCTGAACTGAATCATCAAGATTTGTAAACTATAGCTTTTAGCTTAGTACTACTATACAACTGTTTTCCCTACAGCAGAATAAAAACATCTAATTGAACTTTTTTTTTTTACAAAATGTAAAGGTAGAATTATAACTGAAAAAAATGACATTTAAATAAAGAAAAGGATGCTAAATACAGAAGCAAGACGAGGACTGGAGCACTATGTAATGCATTCATGCCTGGGAACACTATTTGGAGAAAACTAATTTATTTATCAGATTTAAATACTGCCTAGCTCATTCATAAAGTGACTCCGGGCAGTTTACAGAAAATGATGGATTTCCTGTAACTGGATGTCTGTGTCTCTTTACTGGTTTAGCACCAGGGGCACTGATGGATACTCTTGAGACTGGTTCAAACTTCCTTTTTCTTTTTGAGGTGATAGCTGCCAAAGCAAAATTCTTCTTGCAGGAAAATTGCTCCTCTAAGGGCCAACTTTAAAATAAGCAGAGAGGAAATCCTTGTGTTCCATATTCAAGGCTACACAAACAGTTTGTATGTCTGTATGTGTGGGTGTGTTTACACAGTTCAGCACATCACTCAGTGTTAACCTTTTTGGTAGCAATGATATTTAATCTGATGGGCCATTTTCCAATTTTCACGTGCATCCTAGTATCAGCATGGATATTCTAGTTGTACAGTTCCACTAACAAGATTCCAGATATAAAAATCCATAGCTACGTTTCAGCAGTGACACACCATTTTAAACACACTCATCCCACAAAATTATGTACACTCACCAGAAAATTAGATAAAGCAAATATACTGCAACTAATTTCTGAACAAACTTTAAAAGAATTGCATTGCACAGTAGTTTCATTTGCCCAGTGCACCTCTATGAAAAATACTAAAATAATTTAAATTGTTCACAGTAGCCTCTAAGTCCTTCAATAATTTGAGATCCTGCTATTTGAGCTTCCAGGTTAACATCTGATGTTCTGTAACTTTTTTCAAATATTGGGGGAGGCCTTTTCTGTATGGTGGCCTCACATTGTTTGAATATTTCCTCTGAAATAGCCTTTGTTGGCTTTGAGGAGAACTTTAAAGGTTAATTCTACTCCACATATTGCTAATTATGCTTACTACTAATTTGCTGATGCAAATTTATGTAATGTATATTCAGTTGTTTAGGTACCTATGACTTTTGTGAATATTGTATATCTAAAATAATATTTCTTTCTGAAGACTACATCTGAACTAGGGGTCTTTTCCCTTTTATTTTAGATTTTTTTTAATGCTGTCTTTATTCTTATAAATAATTCAAGGCTGTGAACATACCTAATACCCCTCCTCTTTCCCCCACAACAACCCTGTGAGGAAAGCTGGCTTGAGAGACAACGAGTGGTTCAAAGTCTTCCAGTGGACAGGAGAGACTAGAACTCAGAGGTTTTGTGGTTTCTAATCTGGTGACTTAATCACTAGAGCAGGGGTAGGCAACCTTGGCTCTTTTATGACTCGGGGACTTCAACTCCCAGAATTCCTGAGCCAGCCATGCTGAGGGGAAAGGGAGTTTCCAAACTGAGCCATGCTGGCTCAGGAATTCTGGGAGTTGAAGTCCCCGAGCCATAAAAGAGCCAAAATTGCCTACCCCTGCACTAGACCAAACTGGCTTTTTTTTTTTGTTTGTTTCATAGATTCCTTTGAGAGTTTCATGAAGCCTACAAACTCTTTTGGTGGAAAACAAGGAGTATTTTCTTTTAATTAATCACAATTATATGTCCACTTTCATGCAAAACAACTTTGGGTGGCATATAACACTGAAATGCATGTTACATATTTAAATGCATACAAATGTATAGCTATAGATGGTATTACAAAGTAAATCAATTATGCTCAATCCAATTATCAAATACTGTATGAAAAAAATAACTGTATAGTATAATATAATAATGTTTTCTGAGGTTTTCGCGGGTGTTTGTATGTAGGTCTTCGGTTATTCGGGTTTTCTCCCGCGTCAAATTGGAAGTGTCTTGGCGACGTTTCGACGAAGTCTCATTCGTCATCTTCAGGCTGGTGTTTTCGGCTTCGTGCTTTGCACATTGCTCCTAGAAGCACGAAGCCGAAAACACCAGCCTGAAGATGACGAATGAGACTTCAGACTTCGTCGAAACATCGCCAAGACACTTCCAATTCGACGCGGGAGAAAACCCAAATAACCAAAGACCTAATATAATAATATTCATATAATATATTCAAATTCATGGACTCCATGAAATCTATCTTCAGGCCCTCAAGAATTCCTGTTCTAGACAAGCATTTGATAAATCAGCAATTGTGTGCTGTGCAGCACAAGTAATCACAGCTTACCCAGCAGGCCTTGTGTCATCAATAGCACGATCAACTGGGATTAAGTCACTGAGGTAGACATTGAAATTCCCTTCATTCCATCTCCTTTTGGCTTCTTCCTCCTTTTCACCTGGGACTTCAGCAGGGCGCCCAAATTGACCCGGCGCTCTGGGGTCTCTTGGGGCCAAGGTCCTATCGATTGTTAACACTTTGTGCAGCCGATTTTTTTCTGCGAAATCCACATTACTCTGATTAGGTTTGAGGAATTGCTCTTCGCCTGTTAAATGGCCTTTGTCAATCTTCCCCAGTGCTCCTCCTCTAGCAAGGATCCCCTCCGTGGTCACGGCTTTAATTAGCCCACCTATTTGGGTTGCATTGGTGGCTTTCCGCTTATTACTGCTTTTCTCACCTGGCAGCTGTACAGACTTTCCCATCGATCTAAATCCTTTGGTGCTGACTTGGAGATGCTGAATTGTTGGAAAAACCATAGGGACCAGCTCCTTGGTTATAAAGACCTGCTGGTTTTCCAAAAGAGCATCCTTTGCTGGGGGTAGTTTTGCATCCTTCCTATTTGGCAGGTTTCCTGGAGCTCTTTTATTCAGAGAGACTTCCTGCTTCTCTGCTGTTGAGGTATTCAGCTTGCCAGCAGGTAAACCCCACCTTCCTGTGACCTCAGGAGCCTCTACCATTCTTAGTAGCCCCCCAGTCCTGTTGGCTTTGGGAAGACCCTGCCATTCCTCAGGCTTGCTTCCGGTGGGGACACCACGTTTTAACCCAGCCAAAGCCCATTTATCTGTGAACTCCATGTGCAATAACTCCTCCGCTCCTCCCGCGGTCCTCTGAGCAGGCGCCTTCTGAGGGGCTCCCTTTGGAAGAGTTGGGTTGGCAGGCGCTCGCCCTTCAGCAACTACTGAGTGGGGCTCCTGGTCCCACCGGGCCAGAGCTGGGGTTGTCTGCCGGGGGTGGCTGGTGGCTGCCGCCCCATTGACTTTCTTTCCCGCGGAATAGGAAGGTTCAGCCGGCGGCAGCCGCCGTTTCAGCGGTAGTATGTCACGCAGGCCGGGTATTTTCCCGGGCGCTGCTTTGGCCGGGGTCGTGCCGGGGGATAAGCGCTGCCTTCTCCCCTCCGCGCTCCGGCCAGCATCTTCGCTGTTCCTAGAAGGCTTCCCGTCTTGTCCCGGCGGAGAGACCTCGGACTCCTCTCGGGACCACCTCCCTAGGCCATCCTCGGAGTTGCGCCAAACTCGCCGTCGCCCCCTTTCCTTCCCGCCCGTCTCCCCTTGCAGCACTTTGGCGCCGCTCTCGCCGAAGGACAACTTGAGGGCTGCCATGTCAAAGATCAACCAAATGACCGAGGCTGCGAAAATCAAAGCCAGGACTCGCCCGCTGCCTCGGCAAACCTTTCGGAATTTATTCATTTCGGAGAAAAGTTTGCCTGGCCTCTGAAAAGCTTTTCTTCCGGCCGCCTCCGGGCCTCCTTACCTACAGAGGCGGCAAGAGGAGCGCCACGCGGAGCCCCCTCGCCCTGGAGCGCGCCCGCATAGCGAGCTAGGAGAAGTCGCCTGTTGCGCCTTGCCTGCGTGGCATATTTATAGCGCGGCATCCACGTCTCCTCGGTGTCGCGTGGCCGGCCTTGCAGCCGCATGTCCTGAGTCAATCAGCCAGCCTGCAAGCAGGGGCCGAGCGGCCGGCGGGTGCAGTTTGCAGCGAGTCTTACGAGTCCCCTTCCTCCTCCTCCTCCTCCTCCTCTCGGCAGCCTGGGAGATTCTCCATTCTATTTGATGAGAAAGAAAGAAACAGGCGGCTGCAGATCAGCTGGAGAAACTGATCCCACCTACCCGCCTCCCCTCCACCCCACCCCAAGCTGGTTTTCTTTCTCTGTAATTCGACACCACCTCGGAGAGAAAACAAAGCGCAAACTTCTCACTGCTTTGGCGTAGGCTCTACTACTATCACCTTCCGAGATCCCAGATCCTTTTGAAAATCGTGCCCAAACGCCAGAAACAAACCTGGTGCGTGCCTATGGTCTGTCTTTTTTGTGTGTATGTGGCTCACGATTCCATCTTTGTACTCGGGAAATTCTCTTCAGAAAACTTTTGTACTATCTTGAATGACTCTTATGTATATTCATTAACCACCCACCTTTTTCTGTTTTTTGGCAAGTCATGGTTTATTTGATCGTGGTTTATTGAATAAATTTGCCGAGTTCAGAGGTTACACTAAGGCACACAAGCTAGGGTTCACCAATCATAGTTTGGTGGATTTAGCTGACATGCTAAGCCAGCAGCAAACCATGTTTCAGGTCAGCATGTTACTGCAGTGGCTGGCAGCAGCGGATCAAAGAGGTGGTTGGGTTTTGAGGGGAAGGGAAGAAAGAGGTCCTCTGAAAGTGCTTGAAAGCAATTTATCTTACTACTTTTTGATATTTGCAGTAGTAGGAACCAATGAGAACGTTTTCAAATTGTGCTCATTTCAGGGAGGATTCAGTAAAAAAAAACATCCTGGCATAAGACTCATGCAATAATAAAATAGGACAGAAATAAAAATAAAAAATTCCCCCATGATGGAGCATTTGTTAAAGCAGTGATTCTCAACCTTTCTAATGCCGTGACCCCATAATACAGTTCCCCAAGTTGTGGTGACCCCCAAGTGGGTGTGGCCACCAATAAGATGGAGTAGGACAGCTAGGACAAAGGGAAAAAAATGGCGGACAGCATGGTTTGGCGACCCCCGTGAAATGGTCATTCAACCCCAAATGGGGTCCCGACCCACAGGTTGAGAATCACTGTGTTAAAGGTAGGTGGATATGAGCCTCCCAGGATAGAGGCCTACAGAGATAATGTCCCACTGAAAAGGCTCCTTTTTCAGTTAGGACAGGTCACCATATTTCCCTGTCAAGCAACAGGAGGAGATTATTAATAATAACAACAACAACAATAATAATGTGGGCCTTCTATGGGTCTTTCAGTTGTGAAGCCATGTTCTTCCTTATGTCTTGAGCTCCAAAAAATTACTGTATATCAGCATGGGATTTGCAGTCTCTGTTGCTAGTCCCAGTCCTACCTCTGTTTTAAATCACTGCAACAAAGCTAACAACTGCTTTTGGAGAGACTCAAAAAATGGGGGGGGGGAGGGGAATGTCTTGGTCATGGATTGACAATGAGATTAACACGGAGCCATGGCAGAAACAGACGAATGCAAATCATAAAAAGCCCTTACAAGGGAGCCAATAGGAAGCCAACATTACTTGGTAGAACTGAATTTAAAGAGAACTGCTTCTTATTTCCTCCTTTGACTTGGACGCTCTGAATGGCGCGCAAACAAGAATGCAACATCTGTTCCAAGTGCATGAAAGCAGATATTTGGTAGTTAGTAAGATATGGCTCAGGAAAGATCTCATTCTTGCATCACAGGTTTAGATAATCTGAAGCTGCAATCCTAAATCTGTTTTTTTCTGGATGGGAAGTAATTTCCATTGAAATCCATGAGACTTATATCTGCGTATAGAAATATGTTGTTGGCCTTAAAAGTTAGTAATTTTTGTGTAGAATAGAAGTTTTCAGATGCTATAAAAAGTGATAAAGGAAGGAAAGTAGAAAATGCATTTTAATAGTTATCTTGTAATTGGAAGAGCATTCTACCCAGCACATTAAATGTTCACATTGAGCTATCCAAGACAATTGTGACAGCTGCAATAGAGTGGATCAGGGTCTACAGGTTGCCTACTTTTGCTGTAAATGACAACAGCCTTTATGGAATGAGCCCGCAGTAACTCTGTTCACACATATTGCTAAGCCCAACACATTTTGGCCTGGCAGTATGTATGAATATAGCCAGCACATGAAAACACATGAAAGATTGCTGTTGTTCCTTTGGTGTGGTACAAAGAAAAAAATTTAAAATTGCCATGCTGTGGTTTCAAACATCTCTGTGATGCCCCATTGAATACTAGCTTCTCACAGCATCAGCCAGCCCACAAATTGCTAAGAATAGTTGAATAACATAAGAATTTTTTAGCAGTTTCTTCTCCCCCTTCACTCCATGAATGAATTATTGAAAATAAGTGAAAGAGTATGCCCCACTTTTAAACTTTTATTGCACATTATGAATCATGAAACATTTCACAGCTGGAAATAGCATGGTCAAATAGCCCTACCATAAACTTTACAATGTGGCTTTACTACTCAGCAAATACAAATGTGTGGTTTCTGTTTGGACAGACCTGTTCAACACAAGACAGCAGCTTTTACACTGTGGATTGATTAATTTATTCCAGAAGGCTAACTTTAAAATAATACCAAGAATCAACCTCACATAGACAAGAAAATTTAACATGTAATAAAAGTTTCCCCTTCTTTTCATTTTCTTTTTGAAAAAAAAATATACAAAACTCAAAAGTGGAGATCATGACATTTTTGATGCTTAGTAAGAAATCAAGCCAGACCTCATATCTACAATAAATATTTAAGATAAGTGTTCCAGGATATTGGCGTTAGAACAGCTGCTTTGCATGCAATACTGTGCAAATTTGACAATGAGGATTATAGCAACAACACATACTTAACTGTAGTTTAAAGGAAATATTAATCCATTTTAAATCTGAAAGCAAATGGCTAACAAAGCTAGGGTTTGATTCCTCTGATTAATGAGCTAATAGTAGTGAGATCTGTAAATCTACATTTGCTACTTTGCTTTCAGCTCTATTAGTTTGTAATCATATAGAACAGATTATCTCCAGGTCAGCCCTGACTCAACATTCTACTGTAACTCTGGTGTTGGTAGAAGGACTGGTTCAATTTTGGTCCAATAGATGGGAAGGAATAGTTGGTAATTAAAGCACAATGAATACTTTGAGTACTTCTACTTGATACATCTATTATTAAAGACCATCACCTTAGGCTCCAAACAAAACCTAAAACTTCCTTCCTTCATATAAAAAATTATGTATATCAGGCAGAAAATTGTGCTATGTGCTGAACTTTTTCAGGTACAAGAGACCAGTCAATTAATCCATTTAGGATTGACAGTTATTACCACTTTACATTGATATATTTTTATTGTTCTTAAATATTTGATTTTCTGTTGTTGATTTTCTTACTATTTATTCCTAATGTGCTAGTTTCTTTGAAGAATTGTTTTAAAGTGATATATAAATGACAGTTAGAACATATACATATGATATGTTATTTCCTGGGAAACAGGTATGTCGTAATAGGGATAATCATGAATAGTTTCCTGCAGTTCTTGATCAAGATTTCATACTATTTATTAATACTTTATTGTACATCTGGAGTTTAAAAGTTTCACCTTTTTTGAAACTATTTTGAAACTATTTTTGGCATATCTGAAGGAACTGTGTTTAGCATGGATTTTTTTTCCTGAATGCTATTTTCTCATTGTTTCAACTACGCTTAATTTCAGATCTGATTCAATCTTCTACCTCAGTTTACTTTTACTAAATGGAAGCAGAATAAGGGTAAACTGTACAGATTTGCCTCTGATTGCCTTGTAATCCCCATTTGCACCTCATTGTTCAAATCCCAAAATGTTGTGTCAGTGTTATTGCTGAACTGTTAAATTTATAAAACATTACATAAGGAATTATGGTAACCCTATATCACTTCCAAACCAAACCTTCTGCCCCAGGCAAAAAGAATTAGGTATGAGATTTTGTGCTTGTTCCTTTAAGAGCTATCAGTAAGTAGTTATCTAACTTCCTGCAGCCCTTGAAGGTGTGCCCTAGAATAATCATTAGGCAAGGAAGCTTTCATAACCTAAATAAAACTGATGTAGCTTTTTTCCCCCCTAGGCCACTAATATGTTACAAATGCTGACTGAGATCTCTGCAGCTAGGTGATGTGATAGGTGATTTTTGAAACTTGTCAAATTAGGGGCAAAACGTCTTCACGAATTCATGAAGTATGCTTTCCTTAATGAACACAAAAATAAAAATGTTAGTGGATTTTTTTCTTTGAAAACCTAGCAGCTAATTCTACCCCCTTTAAAAAAAAAAGGAGATGGATTTTGAAGAATCATAAACTAAATTGGAGAGCATAGCCAGACAAAGAAAACAGTTTAAATAAAATGTATTTGTATAAAAGGTCACCTAGGAAATACAAGCTTTATTGTAAAATTTTCAAGGAAGCTGTATGTATCTGAACAATATAATATAGGACCAAGCAGTATTCCTGTGAACTAGAATAGGACATAGATTATTGCCAGAATAAAATTTAGTAACTTTTAATAAAACAAACATTTTAAATCTGCTTTATAAAAGCTGACTACTTGAAACAATTTCAAACAGACCAAGAGGTTAGGAATTAGTATGTTGGATTCATAGCACCTAGCTGATATTGTATTGGGTAATCTTGAAAAGCATAGTTAAGAAAAAGTAAGTTAAACCTCGTTGGTACTTGGAGAACTGTATATTTACTGGAATTAAAAACCTTTGAGAAGCAGAGGGAAGTTTATTTCCATGGAGTTGTAAAACCAAGCCAAGCCAAAGGCATGTTGATGAAGTCAATCTAGAAATTATATCTGCTTGAAGTTTGCTGTCCCCTTTGTGATCTCTGTTCCGCTTTTATTGCCTCTGTTCCCAGTCATTGTCAGTCACTGTCAGTCACAATAGCAGGACTCCCTTCCAAGACAATGGGTGACATAGCCTAACAGATTACATGCTCCTAAAGGTTCCCCTTGTTTAATGTGAGAATAAGGGTGACTAAAGCCTGTCGCACTCATGAGTTGGAGATAAGGCAGTGACTTTGGGGAAAAGGGGAAAAAGATATTGCTAGGACATGTTTGGGCAGTGATTAGATGTAAG